TTAAAAAAGACTTAAATTTTATTAATTAAAAAAATAAGAACCGATGCTTCAGTGTCGAAGGCACGAATTTTATTTGAATTTTTGAACAAAGTTATTTCTTGAAATATAGAGTCATTTTCAATATCTTTCTAGTAGATACGCCGTTGTATGTAACTACTAATTTTTAATCAATATTATGTCATTTATGCATAATTTCAGCTTATAGTTTTTGTATTTACAGATCGCAGAATAAAGTTAAATAAAAATATAAAACAATATTGGTCCTAAACCCAATCATTATGAAGGAAAATTAAGCTATTATTAACATCTTTACAAAAACCTGATAATTGAACATGCATATGTCCAATGATCATGTTTGAATCCCATACATCTATCCTTTGCTTTTTTTAACACAATTCTGTAAAAATTTAATTAATTTTGAATAGAGAAATCATTCTAATCTATTTCCAAAACCCAAATAGTATTTTGTCCTATTTCTTCTTAATCTCTGAAACCGTTCGTATTGTTTTTTCTCCAAAAACTGATCTACTATTTGCATCCTCTGTACGAATCGGATATTTTGTGAAATGATCTAAGTCGGTTCATATTAAGGACTAAAAATATATGAATAAACTTACGTGAATAAACTTGATTTTTTGTCCCGGATGTCCCGGTTTTTCAAAATTAAATTAGTTAAATAAAGTTAAATTATCAAAAATTAAAAAAAACAAACCAACAGATGCTAATTTTTTCAAATTAATTATGAAGAAAATTGAATAGAACATATAGATCGAAAAATATAAGATATAATATCCTAGATAAAGAAGTATTGCATATTATAGTCGAAGTATAAAGCTCTTACTAAAAGTCCGCAATTATGATAAAAAAAGGTTTATTTAAAAAACTTTTAATTTACCCTTTAACCCGCCCTCCATCTCGTCGTCTCGGATTTGACTTAAAAAAATATAGTCACCTTAGTACTACCATATACTTAAATTTTTCTGAAGTATGCCAAAGTAATCAGAAGTCCTTAAACATAAAAATGTCGAAGAATTCTGTAATTTACGTAACTTACCCTGTGGAAAGTTCGTAAGTGGCTACCAAGTTTTTGAATATATACGGTAATTGGAAAATGTTGAGAAGCACGGTTTTCCCAACCAGGAGGGGATATTTTTAGTGTGTGTGTATATCATCAGAAATCTCCCACTCTCTGGCAAGCAAAACATTAGTCAGTCGGCATCAGAAGCGCGTGGATCGATCGTACCAGTGCGTTGCATTTAAGTTCCTCTGGATAAAAAAAAATATATGATATGAAAATTATTTTTTATAATGTGAAAAATAGTGCTACACAGTGTTTATGTGTGTTATATAAGAGAATAGTGTTATATATTTGTGCTTAACCAAAAGTTTAACAAGGTTATTATTGGTTACCTATTGCACTAATCATCATTGTTATAATTAACTAAATTAAGAATCAACTAACACCGAAGATGATGATCAGTATCTTATTCATAACTAAATACAAATTTTGCAAATTAATTTTATAATTATTAAATTCAACTTATTTATAAAATTACTTATAACCATTAATTATTATTATGATTATTATTATTTTTATTTATGTAGCATTATATTCATTTCCATATCTCAGTCAGTCAGTATTTACTCAGTTAATGGATGAAAATGGTTATTACAAATTTTAATTTGTAGTAAAATGTTTTCAATATTTGAAATTCAATTCATAACTATTTCAATATAAAGAGATTAGTTAAATGCTAACTCGAAATTTTATTATGAATGAAATGAATTTTATAACCTTCTATATTGTATAAAGTCTACTACAGACGTTCTTTATTTTATACGAATCATGTGTAAATGCTCACATTTATCACATATTTTTATGAATAATATTAAATTAAACATAAAAAACATGTTAATTTATAAAACAATTCAGATTCTTTGAATTTGAATAAAAAATAATTAAAAACTAAATAATAGAGATCTGTTTTGTTAATGGTTTTGGCTGTTTTTGGTAAATTAAAACTTTCAAAATAATTTTTGAAATTCATATACTATTTCAATATAAAGAGATTAATTAAATTAAACTCAAAATTTTATTATGAATGCAATGAATTTTATAATCTTTTCTTTAATAAATATATCTAAATTTTGTATATCATTTAGAATTAATTGATTTTTTTTCTTAAAAGCTACACTATACAATATAATAATTTTATTAGAGTCTACCTCAGACGTTCTCTATTTTTATATAAATCATGTGTAAATGCTCACATTCATCACATATTTTTGTAATTAATTTTAAATTAATCATAAAAAATATGTTACTTTATATACCAGCTAAAAATCTTTCAAAAATAATTAAAAAACAAATAATAGAGATTTGTTTCGTTAAGGGTTCTCTACAAGTACCTATAATTTTTGGTTTTAATAGAGTATATGCTCACATTTATCACATATTTTTGTGAATATTATTAAAATAATCATAAAAAATATGTCAATTTTGATAACAGCTAAAAATCTTCAAATTCTGAATAGAAAATAATTGAAAAAAAAAAATAGAAATCTGTTTTGATTAGGGTTTTCTACAAGTACCTACTGTTTTTGGTGAATTTAAACTTGGATATTAGATAATATAGAACAAGTAGACCTAAATTTATCCTAAAATTAATAACAAACAATGAATTTTTATCAATTCTATGTTGTAATTATTTGAAACAAAACAAAACCTTTGTCTCGGTAAATTTTTATAATTCAAGGCACCTATTGACTTACATTGTAAACAAAAATATTTCAAAACACCGTGCTGAAAAATTGTTAAAAAACATGCAATAATTTCGTAATGAATTTCGAAAATTTAAATATTTATTTAAAAGCAATTGAAAAATAATACAATTTTCATTAGCTATTTGGTATATACACATGCATAATAATTATATACATATTGACACACTCCCATTAACATATATTACATTGCTTAAGTAATTTATCTAATGGCAGATTTACAAATATAGAGAAATAAAATTAAATTAATGTAAAATTTCATTTCGTTTCAAGTTGTTTGAACAAGGGTATTTATAATTATTACCTATCTTGCAAGATAAGATTTATGTTGGATAAAAATTTAATCTTTAGACCTTAACCTTAGCATTGGACTCTAGATTTTTCATGTAAATATACGAATTCTTTATTCAAAGTAATACTATCCATTTGAATTGCGCGCTATGAATACTTACACATTTTGTTGTTGTTATTTAATTTACTCCGCCTATTGTTCTATTAGGTGAAGTCGTTTTTCATACTCATCTAATGAAATCAAGGGTTGGGTTCTCTAACACGTGGATTATCAGTCGTCGTAGTAAAAAACACCTTAATCTTATTTGAATAACTTATCTAAAGCTTTTGAACCTGCTCTGTTGACTTTCCATTCAGTTACGCATTTGCTTATTGCAGTAGCGATAACAGCATTCTAATGTAACAAACCAGTTAGTCATATCATTTAAGACTATTACTTTATTTATAGCAAATATTTTAAAGTTTACTTTCATTTCGATTAAATCATACTGGATGTTTATGCTAAATATAAATATTTGCTAATTAATTTCCTGCCCATATATTTTTTATCTTTATATGGCGGATTCAATATCATAGTTGAAGAGCAGGAGTTACCGCATTCAGGAGAGAATTTGAATGAGCATTTCACTAAATTTTATCAATTATTCTGGATCATGTTGTGATTACCTCCTAATAGAGTAGGTAATTGATACTACATAATCAATCAGTGTATTTGGAAATATATTAAATTTAACACATATATGGCGTGTACAATCTCACAATCATGGTAAAGGGCAGAGTTACTGTATTCAGCAGAGAATTAGAATTAGTATTTCACTGAATTTTATCAATTATTCTAGATCATGTTGTGGATTAGCTTCTAATAGAGTAGGGTATTGATGCTGCATAATCAATCAGTGTTGTTTGAAAATATATTAAATTTATCACATTTATGGTGGATATAGTCCCATAATCGTTTTACAATCGAGCAAAAGTTACTGCATTCAGCAGAGAATTTGATTAAGTATTTCACTGAATTCCTTCAATTATTTTGGATCATGTTGTGGATTACCTCTTAATAGAGTAGGGTATTGATACTGCATAATCAGCTAGTGTTTCATGTAAATATGTTGAATTTATCACATTTATGGCAGATACAATCTCAAAGTTGTGTTAGAGAGCAGAAGTTACTGCATTCAGCAGAGAATTTGAATGAGTATTTCACTGAATTTCATCAATTATTCTGGATCATATTGTGGATTACCTCCTAATAGAGTAGGGTATTGATACTACATAATCAATCAGTGTTATTTGGTAATATATTAAATTTAACACATGTATGGCGTGTACAATCTCACAATCATGGTAAAGAGCAGAAGCTAAAGAACTCTATTCAGCATAGAATTAGAATTAGTATTTCACTGAATTTCATTAATAGATCATGTTGCGGATTAGCTCCTAATAGAATAGGGCATTGATATGTATAATCAATCAGAATTACTTGAAAATATAATAAAATTAAGTATGATGGGTATAATCTCACAATCATGATAAAAAGTATGAATTACTACATTTAGCAGAGAATTTGATTGAGTATTTCACTGAATTTCATTAATTATTCCGAATCATGTTATGGATTACCTCCTAATAGAGTAGTTAATCCATAATCAATCTGCGATTGATACCAACATCATTTATTTTTTAATGAACATACATTTTTTTTTAGATCTATTAGTATTTCTAGTGATATTTACCATATATTTTTCTATCTTCTGCCAATTAATTACATTGGCTTTAAGATAGTGTTATTAAATTATGTTAATTTGCTATCATGATAAATATATTTAAATTCTATAATCAGAAACCAATTAATAACCTCATCAAATATCAATTAATAATAATAATTTTCTAATATTGTTTTTCCATATCTGCTCTGCAGCTGTGTTAATATAGTGCATATCAATAAACAATTAGTGTGTTTTGTACAGTGCTTATATACACATGTGCGAATAACAATGAGATATTAATAAAATATTTTAAACATTCGCAAAAAATCTGACGAACCCAAAGATTGGTAAAAATCAATTAGTTGAACTTTAATCGATTATTTAGAAATGGGAATTTTAGTGGAACATACCGCAGCTTAGGATGATGTATAGTTGCAGCTTATTGTGTATTTTTATGAAGAGGATAATTTATATATCACTTATCGAATTTGACGAATCACCATACTATAATAATTATTGAAACGAAACGAATCGACTGAAAGCCATTTCCAGAGATTGGTGTGCATTTACTTCAATTAAAGATGATGAATATCCAATGCGCCATAGATAAAGTTCTATTTCTGGCAAAATACCTCATGATCCACATAAATTGAGGGAAAAATTGTTGGATATTGATTAATGATAGAAGATTAGTTGAAACACAATTTAAAACTTAAAACAATATATGTGTGATGACAAATCTACATTTACATCAGCCCTCTTGGTCAGTTTAAAATTCTTATCATCGATTTTCAAAAGTGACCGAATTTGTAGCAGCCGCGATTTTAAATGTTCTGTTCAAACAGCCAAGCTTTTCAAAGTTTATCAGAAAAAACTAAACAGTTAGCTCAGAAATGTCACATGAAAGTGAACAGCCAGAAAACGTCTTCGAACAAGAATTCCTCTAGCAAATCATCCAAATTCTATCTTTGCCCATGTGGCGTATTACCTTCGAGTTATGGGAAAAACACTAGAAGGGTCAGCCAGACGAAGTGGTATGTCAAGGTAAGAGGAGTTCTGTTGACATTTATTTAGTAATTTAAAAAACACTTCAATTGGTCTCGAGCACTTGATATTAATAGGATATAAAATTAAATATTGCTTTTGAAAATCACATAAATTTCAAGATAATTTAATCGAATCCATTAACTTTCTGAGCTCTTCGAGTTTATCCTTGTCTCATAATTGCTTTGATTGTTCCTTATTTTTCGACACCCTCAAAATAATAGATCAAGGTTCAATTTTATTCTGGTCATTTGGACCCATATAAATATTTTTACGGTGATGTTCTCTATATAATGAATTTTCACAAATAAAGAGAACCAAAACTGAATTTCATTGATATTTATTGCCTATTCTTATTAATAACCAATGTACTGAATAGAAAAGTGAGGGTGCGTCTTTATTACACTAAGGTGAATTATTTATTTTAATAGATTTTTGTACCTAGAAGACAGCATATTTTCGAACAGGTGTAGACTGATCATTCATGAAATAACTTTTTTATGGTGTACTAAATTTGGGAAAATATTATTAGCTTTCTACTTGTTCTAGCATTTTACCCATTTTAGATATTTTTAAAATCCAGACTTTTGAACTGAATATACCAAACTACAGAAAATAATAACTGTACATGATTTCTATACTATATTTAACAATAAAGTGAATTATTAATTTTAATAGATTTGTACCAAAGAGGTAACATACATTCAAAGAGGTATGACTGAAAATTCATGAGATAATTATTTATTTCGTTTGATGTGTACTGTATTTGGGAAAATATTATTAGCTAACCTTGTTTTTTTTTAATTTTACCAAATTCAAGCAATTCTAAAACCCAGACTATTTTGATTGAATATGCCAAACTACAAATAATTTTAATAAATCTTACACTTGTGTTGATTAAATTATTCGAGAGATTTTTTGTAAGGCTAGTTGCTTATGATTCTGAAAATGAATCTTCTGCCAAGTGGTTGGATTGGTGACCCACCCTTGTTTGTAGTTTTCTAAGATTTGGGATGATGATGATCAACTCCTTTTGTCTTGATGCATTAACCAGTTTGGAACACCAGTAGAAAATTAAATCATCATCTACTTACATATTCAATAAAACCGAGACAGGAAAGGGAGTACCATCAATAGATTAATATTATTAACAAGTGCAGATATTAACATCCTTCATTTTAGTTTAGATAACAAACAATAGTCATTGTTATCCTGCTTATCTATGTCACTGCAAAATATCTGCGAAGTGCTGTACATCGTTTGGCATTGAGAATATATCAAAACATGATTACTATGTTGTTAACTAATAAGCATGAAAACCTCAGATCAGATTATATAATCATGCTTTTCTCACGGAACGCGATATTACAATGAATAATCTAACGGGTAGAAAATGTCACAAACAACGTCTACTTAACTGTTTAATAGATCACATTAATTGAGAAGTACAGTAATCAAGGTATTGTTAAAGATGAGATAATAATGCATTTTTAATGGTTAACTCGTTCATTTCTAATGGATTAAATAGACAATATAAAGGGTGTTAGACTCTACCTTAAATTTAACTCTTTAACCCGCGAGCTTTTCAAGTAACATTCCAAATTTTTCGACGATTCATCAAATAATTATGGATATTTTCTATGACATGAAGAAATCTTAATTCTATACCGTAGTAAAGATAACCAATATCAATATTTATGATCTTTACTAGACTTTTCAACCTAAAATCCACAGACCTTATAATACATATGTATGAGGTCTATGCAAAAATCACATTTTTATACACAGAGCATTATAGGCCGATATAAGTTAAAAGTCACATAATTGTTCAATAAGAAAAAAATGTTTAATAACCAAAAATAATTGATATTGACGATTTTACTGTTTGGTTAATCAGTTATTAAATAAACATTTATGAAAGATATGGGGTACGAAAGGAATTGATACCTATCAATTTGTGCCAACGATTTTTTTTTGAATAATAAATATATTAAAAAAAAACATTTACAGTAATTCTGCATTAACATTATGTACTAACTATATAATCTGATTTATCTTTCATTTTTATATAATCAAGTAGAGTCGATCTGTAGAAAAGAGAATGCAAATATTTGTGCCAAATATTTTATGTGTGGTCATCTGTAACTAAATAAATAAACCACAACACATTATTCAAAGCAAGTATTGTTACAATAAATTACAATTCCACTTTGTCTATAAATAATTTATACTATTTGCATAATAACATCGAAACGTTTACATAAACCGTACATTTTTTATTATATGCATAGAATATATTCATTGCTAATATATACCATATGTTGGAAATACGCAATACACAATGCTAGTTTTTATTACGCAAATGAATTAATTGTATAATTTGTTGTTATTTGAAAATAAGTTATTAGTGTGTCACTTAACATATTTCAGTTGAGAATAAATATTTATTATGAATAAACGTTAGATATTAACTCATGAATAATTAAAAAAAACGAGAGTAAACGCTTATATATTTATTTAGTAAAGTAATTTTTCTTCTTGCTTTTACTTATAGCACATGAAAAATATTCTTAATCGTGCAGAGTATTAAAAGGCTTAAAAGATTTATTAAAAGACTTAAAGAATTTATGCGAGAAAATTATTTTCATGTAAAATTGATTTAATTTTCAATTGCATGGAAAGGTTCTAAAACCAGTACTTCTGGATATTTTAGAAAAAACTAATCATATCGACTCTTTATTTATATATTATTATAATTTATCAGTCATAAATCTGAGCATAGGCAAAGGAAAACAAATAAAATTATTCTGAAGCACGAAAGTGTAACGAAAAAGTGATTAAATTAGCAATTTCTCATAAATGTTCATAACGGTGTATTGTCTCTACATTCGTGAAATAAATAAAATATCTTCAGTTTTTTTGTTGAGTTGACATATAAAATATACATGCTCTATTTCACGTAATAAATCAATGATTGCAAAATCTCTTATTTAGAGAAAATATGACATGCAAATTTTTATTCCGAATTATGAATATGTGTACCCTGTAGGTTCCCTTTCTTATCACATTTCAAATTTATTGATGCCTTTATTTCTCTATATAAATTTTACACATCATATAAAGTTAGTATCTTCATCTGTTTTGCCATTGATCGAGTTTGGATTTTATGAACTTAATATTTAATAAAACAATTATTTTATTACAAAATTTTTGAATGTTTCTGACAAATTTTTTTTATTTATAATATATTTTTTTTCGATTCATCGATCATGTTAGTTAGTACTTATTTTTCTTCATAAATAATTCAAATTGGATTGATTTACATGTTACTGTCAATAAAATTGATAAAAAAATGTTTTTATTATAGTGCTTATTAATCCTATAAATATAATTCACTATCGCAGAAAAATATAATTCATTACCGCAAAAAATATATTTTTCTGTGGATGTTGATATCTTTGGTATATGAATTGTAGATATTATTTTTGTAGATATCTATATGAATAGTCTCTATATGATCCACATAAATATGACTACTAAAGATGAAAATAACGCGACAGATAACGAAATTAAAATTTTATTCTATTTCAGTAATTGACAATACGTAAATTTTAGTCTTAAACAAAATATTTCAGGCAAAAGCCTTTCAAGTTCTTGGTATCAAAACTAATGTAGTTAGTTAAAGGATGAGCATGTATTAAATTATTTGATATGTATTTTCTTTGTATGTTTATATTTTCTAATTTTATTTTTATACGTTTGTTAAAAGTTATAATAAATTATGATTGATGATAAAACTATGCCAAGTATCGAAGATAAATCTGCTAAAAATGTACCTTGCCCAAGTTTCAAACGTATTCATTAATTTACCTAATGAATGATAAATTTAAAAGTTTTTTTTCATTCTCATTAATTTATTAGTGACGGTTACGTAAACATGAGATAATACTGAAACATTTGAATAATACATATCAGTGGTCGTCATGAAATTTTAAAAACTCATCAAATATTTAATTTTATTTTTATTTAATTTATTGGTAATTTATTGAAGCTTTTTTCAAAAAAGCGAAACTCGTCAAGTATTTTATTTTATTTTTATTTAATTTATTGCTAATTTATTGAAGCTCCTTTCATGAAAGTGAAACTCATCAAATATTTACTTTTATTTTTATTTAATTTATTGGTAATGTATTGAAGCTGCTTTCATGAGAGCGAAACTCATCAAATATTTAATTTTATTTTCATTTAATTTATTGAAACTCTTTTCATGAAAGAACAAATGATATTGTATTGTTATTGTCTGTATTGTTAACGTCTTCAATTTTAAACAAAAATTTGAAGAAATCCTTATATTTTAAACCAGATTTGATAAAAAAAATTTAAATTACGTCGTGTTATGCTAAATAATGAGCTAATATTTTGTCAACTTCCATAAGAAATTTCCATGCAACCAAATGAATATCGAATGAAATGTAAATGTTTGATACAGAATATATCATTAGAAATTACAACAAATTACTGTGATCATCTTTTTATGCAAATATTCGTTGTTTCTACATTTAGTAAATTTTTATATCTGGCTATATATACCAACTATCAGTAAATTGTTGAACACTGATTCCTAAAAATCTGTGTGATGATGATTTTGCTGAAAGTAGAACGTGCTAAATTATGCGAACTTTTGATTATGTGACAATTTACTTCCGCATTGAATCGAAAGTCTTTTTAAAAGCATCACATTCTTTCCATAGTAAACGTTCAAGTATATATATATATATATATATATATATATTTCAAATATATTATAATATAATAAAATTATACTAAATTTGAATAACAAAAATGCCTGTCAGATATTTCATTCAGAATTGCTAAAGGCGTTTTATAATAATCTTGATATTATTTTATTTTATCTTATCTTACTTTTATTATCATGACGAAGTTGTTTTGAATTTCTGTCTTGATATCTATTTGTCCATTTATCTGGCATCATATTTCGA